TAAAGTGGGATTATTCTACACGCAGTATTGTATAACTGTTTTCATTTAACTTATCATGAACTCTCGTGATGTCAATGAATATAGAGACAGAATCTTTAATAATCTGTGATTAGCCTGCTAGTAACCCCTTCTTGAAAAAACATCCATTACATAACTCCATTTGGTCCTAGCGAGGAAGACAATCACAGCAGTATCTCCCCACATGGTATTCGGCAGGAAATCAGCTGACCCAGGCCTTACAAATAAGAATTCTCTGTGCTCTTAGCTGGAAGGATTTCCTAAAATTAATCAACATCATCCCTGAGATGTAATATACGAACACTGAGAGAAAGTCTCACTTCTTTTGGAACTGAGATTTGTTAAGATATAAACTGAAGTTGCTTATAGTCTTTGCTGACTACAAGAAGGAAGTGGTCTACCTACCATAGGAAAATTGAAGCCAAAATACGAAAAGAAACAGAGATAGGTAACGATGAGAGGTGAACAAGAAGAGAGAGTATTAATATATCTTGGACCCTGGATTAAGCACTGGACTATAGTCAGTGCTGCTATATGGTAACATAAGCTTTCTTACAAATCACTGGATTATGCAAAGTTGATCGATAAAACCCACTGGATTTATGGGAAAAATGGGGCTAAGAGTACATTTTAAAACCTTGTGACACACATACAAAAAGATACAAACCTAATAAAGATGGAGGCAGACTTTTACATGTTAAATGGTTAGGAAATAGATAAATACTACAATAAATATAGCACTTCATTTTGAAAAAGACCTGAAATTTGCTTGTGGAAATGGGTATTAAAGGGTTTGCCGCTTTTGAGTTGTTGCAAAGTGATGGAAGGAAGTTTCTCTGAAATCAGAGGGAAACTTAGTAACACTAGATGTGGTGGATGGGTGTGACTCAAAATACACCCAATAAACTACAGTAGCTCGTAGAAGTTTGAGGCGTGTGTGCGCGTGTGTGTGTGTGTGTGTATTTTGTGTATTCCTAAATGACTTAATTCTGCTGGATGTACTTTTCTGCTTTCAACTAGTGTTTCTGGCTAACAGAATTGCACATAAGCAAATGCAAAATTCATCTTATGTTCATACTGCTCTCTAACACACTACAGTAATCACAAAAGAATAAGCAAGTGCTATAGCAGTCTGTATTTGATTATGTGAATGAGTGGATTTGAGAAAGATATAAAGACTACAAAGCCAAATAAAAATGATTTTTATTTTTGATATTATTATCTGTAACACAACTGACCTTTCAGATAATTGATGGTTAATAATGTTTTACAGAATTTTATCTTGGCCCTGACAGAGTTTGGCCAGTTTCAAAGTGTTTTTCATATATTATGATGCTTCAAAATCCATAAAAACTATCACAGAAATTCCAATATTAAATCTTTTCATGTCAATACTGTATTTCAAATCACCTAACCCTATACATAAAAAGCCTACATGCATTACAATGTTATCACTGATGTTCTGAGTGATTGCCCTTGGGTTGGAGCAAAATGGCCCGAAGGATACTGCCAATTTGTATTCTTGTCAATAGGGGAAAGCAAGTACCCCACAAAGTTGTTCAGTACTCTAGCTTTTGGAACTCCTGAGTAGAGTTTATGTTATGCAGTTAAGGGAGCATAACAAGTTTTCTTAAACCCACCTTAGTCTTAGACCTGTGTAGTTTTTACAGTCATTGTGAACAAGCCCTGACCAATGTGGCTCAGTTTCTTGGGCATTGCCCCGCAAAGCAAAAAGTCACCGGTTCCATTGCCGATCGGGGCACATGCCTGCGCTGCAGGAGGCAACTGATGGATGTTTCTCTCTCTCTCTTTCTCCCTCCTTTCCCCTCTCTCTAAAAATAAAAAAATAAAATCTTTCTTTTCAAAAGAGTCATTATGAATGAGCCAGGCGTGAAAAGGCTTTATCCTCGTTTTTATCTTTAAATATGATTCTGTGTTAAAACTGATTAAAATAATCAGTACTTTCAGGTCTGGGGTACCCTAGAAAATACTATCCTATGGGTTAAGGGTTGGCAAAATTTTCTGTAAAGAGCTTGAGTGTAATTATTTTAGGCTTCATGGGACATATATAAACAAATAGGCTGGGATGTGTCCCAATAAAACTTTGTTTACAAAAACAGACAGCAAGACAGATTTGTCCAGTGTACAATAATTTGCCAACACCTGCTTTGGACCAATAGTTTTTATTTTCTATTTTTTATTGTTATTCTATTACAGTTGTCCCAATCTTTCTCCCTTTGCCCTCCTCTGCCCAGCTCACTTCCCGCTCCCACAGTCAGTCCCCACATCATTGTTGTCTGTGTCCTCCTACCTTTCGCGACAGCCTGGCTGGACCTAGAGAGCGTTATACCAAGTGAAATAAGCCAGTCGATGAAAGACAAAGACCATATGATCTCACTTACAGGAGGAATCTAATGAACAAAATAAACTAACATGCAAAATAGAACCAGAGACATGGAATCATATTCTATTTTTTTTAATAAAGCCTTGGGGACAGTCTCTGGAGGCTTAGACGGCCAAGCAGGCAGGGACCTGAACTATCCCTGCTTCAAGTAGAGAAGTTTTTATTTTTATGCTATATGGACTTTGCATGAAATTGATTTGATTAAAGGTTTGATTAAGGGGTTTCATTTCCAATAAGGAAAAAAGCTTCAAAACCAATGCCTTGGACTAAACCTAAAACCTGCTGCTTTAAAACCCAAGAGCAGATGTATCAGGCAAAACAAACACATCTTTTCACATCCTTAAAAAGGATGATAGTTATATAATGTTATTAACCAATGTTACCCCAATAAATTTAAAATTTTTAAAAAAGGTTGATAAGCAGTACATATGTGTTTTAATGTTCCCAGAAAAATTTGCTTTCTCGTACAATTGATCAAAGCATTTTTAAATAAATATTTTATTTATTTAGTTTTTAGAGAGAGAGGAACAGAAGGGGAAAGAGAGGGAGAGAAACATCAATGTGTGGTTGCCTCTCATGCACCTCCACTGAGGACCTGGCCTGCAACCCAGGCATGTGCCTTGACTAGGAATTGAACCAGCGACCCTTTGATTTGCAGGCCTGCACTCAAACCACTGAGCCAAGTATTTAAATAGACAACTTTAATAGATCTAAAAATGTTATCAGTTTGTCATTCCTATTCTATTTCGACTTTTTCTAAGTATGATGTTTAAGGTACTTTAAACGGTCCAAGAGAGGTGGTATGGTATAGTGAAAAAAATGCACCAAATTAGGACTCCATATTTGTCTTCATTGCTAGATTGTGAGCTCCTGAAGATAGGAACTAAGTTTTCTCCTTCATGGTTGAATTGTCCTCAGCACCTAGAACAGTACATGATAAAAAATTAAAAAAAAATTTTTTAAACCCTCTAAATTTTAAGGCAAACACATTTACTATTAGACAACTAGCAAGAGAATAAATTCAGTAGTTTACTTTTATCTTTTCATAATTTATAAGGAAAAAATCATCTTTCCTGGTGAGCAACAAAATAGAGGTCAGTACTTTGAAATGTATTTTTGTCCCCAGGAAATTAACATGTTTAAAACACATAAAAACTAACAATTACTGGATTGCGACAAAAGTCATATCCTCCCAATGTTCTATAAATCCCTTGCCAGCAAGTCTGAAATCCAAAAAGCTCTGGAAACCAAAAATTCTTGTTTTGTATTTTTAGTAACTTATTTGATAGTCAAATTCATCTAACCTAAATTTATTTGGCAGTAGTATCTGACCTAAACTGAACGAGGCTGCTTACTGGTATTTATTTACCCTGTATGGATAATCATATGGTTTACTGCAAGAAATATTACCATATTTAAATATGCAGTGCTGTCCCTGAACTGGCTGGGGTGTTACAGTACACAGCACATGGCATTTAATTTCACACAAGTCTGCCGGACAACACCAGATATTTTCCTGGTTGCTTTACAAGGAGGAATCTAGAGTCCTATTCCAACCTTTCTGAGGCCATGCCCCTGGTCCCAATCCAATCTTTTCTGCTGCCATCTTGAGCAATACCTGAGGCTGTGCGAACAGCTCAGAGCGCCTTTCTGTCATGTCAATGGGAAAAATAAAGGTACTTCACAATGACGCAGAAAGTTAATGTTATCACTTTGTCAATGATCCTTAAGAGTGAGCATCTTAGTCTTTTATAAAGTATCTATTTTCATCACTGGATATTGGGTAGCGAAGGATCATAATCTCATTAATAGTATTTACCATTTGATTGACGCACATACTGGCCAGTATGTAAGAACTTCTCTCACATTAAGTGGGCAGCAACGCGTAGTTGTAGAGTTAAAAAAAAATACCCTGAGGCCTTAATAGGCTCACCTCCAGCAATAAATTCATTATTACTCCATGGAACTGGCACACTCCCCACGTATCTCTCACGGACCCCACCCTGTGGCCTGCAAGAACCGTATCTAGGGATCTCAATTAAAGATCTTCTAGTAAATAGGGCACGCTGTTCCTGTAATGCTAAAGGTAGTGGACCCGCCTATGCCCTAGGGTGGGCTATTCCGGGCTTGGATAAGTTAGGTAAAACGATGTGAATGCAAACCACAATGCCAACGTTTCCCGAGAGCATTTCCTCTTAAAAAAGAAAAAAAAAAGCAGACTCAAAATCACCCCTCTGAAAATGCCTCTCTCAGGAACCGCAGAGTTAGCGGATAAGACGCTCTACCGGGCCCAACCCTCCTCCCCGCTACGTCCGGCGCGTTCCTTCAGGGGCCGGGTACCCCGCGTCTCCTGCGCAGGTTCTAAACTCCTCCCTTCTGGAGCTCATCCCCACCCTTCTCGGCTACTTCCGGCCCTCCTGGACGCCCTCAACGCGCTTGCGCCATTTTGATAGGCTTCTCGGGCCGAAGAAATCCGAGCTCTGCCTCTCTGGAACCGCCCCCGCCTGCTCTTCGCCCCGCCCGCTCTTTAGCGGCCCCGCCCGAAATCTCGCGAGGGTAGGTGCGCGTCAGTATTTTACGATCAACTAGCTCTTGCAGCTGCTGTAATTACTGCTGCGGGAGAAAGTGGACCTTCTCCAGTCCGCGCGCCCGCCCTCCCCCATTGAGGAGAGCCACCGCCTCTTTTCTCGTTCTCCTTATACACGTATTGCCGGGAGCGGCAGCAGCAGCAGTCCCTGGACTCAGCGCCGTCTCCTCTCATTAGACGGCCGCTTTGCCGGTCATTCCCGTAGCCAGGCAGCTGACGGCGCCCCCCTGCTCCTAACCGGCTCCTCTCTCCAGATCGTCTGTTCCCTCCTCATCCTCGCGCGGGTCCCACCACCCCACGGTCTCGCCAGGGTGGAGGACGGCTAGCAGGAGACGAGAGTCACCCTCCCAGGCGACGTCGGCCCCCTTGCCCGCGGGTGTGTCCTATAAATGGCGTCGGAAAGCGACACCGAGGAATTCTTTGATGCCCCCGAAGATGTGCACCTAGGAGGCGGCTACCCTGTAGGGTAAGTAACTATGGCCCAGAAGCCGGGCGTCCTGGTCCCCTGGCTTCCCCCGCGCCTTCCCCCTCCACCCCTCGCCGGTCTCGCTGTGTCCACCACCGCTGCTCCTCGTTCTCGGGCACTTCAGAGTGAGTCGGGGGATGGGGGATCGCCCACCTCGGGTAAACCCCTTCCTTTCCCTGGTGAAAGGCCCATGGGGCTCTTCCTGAAACCCTTTCTCATCTTTCCCAGTTTTCTGCGAGGTGGGACAGCTGACGTGTCTAAGAGTCGGCGGTCTGTGTTTGTGGGGTTCAGTGCTTACCTTTGAAACATCCGTTTTGGCCTTGGGGATCGTAGATTAAAGGAGCAGTAACAGGAGAAATTGTATTTCCCATTTTTTTCTTTCTTTTGCCGCTACCGTACCTATTCGTTTTAGAGGTAGCTGTAACTCCCGATTTTCCGTCCTCTTCGTCGCACAGAAATAAAAGCGGCGGAAAGGGTTGGGTGTTTACTTAGGAAAATCCTCTGTCTGATGTACTCTAGATGAGCAGTGTTTTATTAAATTACCACCTTACCGTGAGGTAAAGGAAATCTAAGGTCTTTTACCAATACGGAGAATGCCGCTTTAGAAGGTATCTGCACATAAATGTACACAGCCGACTACAGAGATACAAACAAGTGCTGAGTAATCTGGTGGTTGGAAGGAGAGCCACAGCTTTGTGCTCTTTATCTAATTCTGCAAGATGTTTTAGTGGTGATTAATATGGGAGATTCTGAGTAGGAAGTACAGTAGTTGGACTGCTTCCCTTGACTGAGACTTCTATTTACTTACTCCTCCACTATTCAAAGTTGGAATAATGTTTATAGCGATTTTCCCGAACTCTTCTACGGACTTGTGTGGAGCTAGAAGCAGTAAAGTATATTTTCATGCTGTGAGAACTTGAGAATTGGTATAATTTGTATGTTAATGTGAGGCACTAATATGGTTTCAGGAGTCAATTGCCATCAATTTTCAAGCTTACCCGTTGGAAGAAAGACCTTGTTTGATGCAAATAAAGTTATCCATACATTCTAGAAGTCGTTTTAAAGCCTAATATAGATGACACAAAAATTTACAGCAACAAAGTCAAAGAAATGTACTTTATATTACAAAAAAATTACAGCAAAAAAAATCAAAGAAATGCACGTAGATAAATCACTAATGTGTGTATTTCCACCAGCCTTCTTCATATCACCATTAGGGGATTTTAGGGTGGCAGTGGCCAATCATGAGATTGCACTGAATCTCATTCAAATTCAGTGCCTGAAACAAGTTGATAGCTAGATGGTAGGGGATAGAAAGTGCATTTGGATTTCCAAATACATCGGATCCCTTTGAAATTAAAATTTATTTTTATTGTTTTCCCTCAAAGTAATGAACAATCGATTCAGTTTAAGTGAGAAACCTAATCCTTTATTACTTTCGTGTATGTGTGTATGTGGAGGGGGGAGGAAAATAACAATCGACGTATGGGGTTGTAATCAGTTTAGACCTATGTGAATAGTGTTCTTTTTTAATGAATAAAACAAATTTAATTTTGAAGGACAGTCATATCAGGACCTGTGTAAACTGCCAAGTCCAGCGCCTGGCATAGAGAAAGAACTCAAATGTTCATTCCCTTCTTCTTCCTTTCTTGGAATTAGCAAAATTCATACAGTGCTTACTTTTGGAGGAAGTATGCAGAACTTGAAGCTATTTAACTTTTCTACACCGAATGAGTCATTTTGATAGAATTGATAGTCATTTCTTCCCTCATAGTACGATATAGCTTCTCAAACTCTTTAATCACTTGATGCTACTAGGGAAAAGGAAAAACAGTTTTTCTTCGGAGCTGGTGTTCTGATTTTAACTCTAACCTGTCCAAATGTTTTGCTTGTTCAGCCCTATGGATAAAACTACTGTGTCAGTCTAAATTGCACAGTTTTATCCTGTAATAGGGGATTAGAAAGGGAATTAAAACTCACCTGGAGAACTGAATTTGAAAAGAACTAGCAGTACTGGGAAGACAGCGAAAGGCTGGTATAATTAACATATCCTCTGTCCTTTGTGACATGTTTTGTCATTTGCATAAGGTACTGTGAGGAGACAGCTGGGTTAACTAACAACCTAGAAATGAGGTGAGAAATCTTGATTTGTGGAAACAGATGGTGTCACTAGGTATCTGATCATCAGAAATATCTTCTGTCCTTTGATGTGAACTGAAGGAGCATACCATACAAACTCTAAGAGGTTAACAGACTGAATTTGGGTACTTTAAAAAAATGTTTCCTGCTATTGTATGTTGTAGAATACACAGACCATTTCACCAAATTTGTAGTAAACTGAGTAGGCAGTTGAGAGTTACCTCATTTGTGTTCATCAGCGGAATCCAAATACACAATCCATCCAATGGTGTACTCAGCTTTAATCTACTCTTCGAAAGCAAATTTAATAAGATAAAATTCAGCCCAGTTTTTTATAGGAAGACTTGATTCCAATGCAGGCTACTTTTCCACAGTGGCAGATCATGTCCACTTGACCAGCTTTGTAAGATATACCACATTTATAATGCTTTATTTTGATAATTTTCCACATCAGGACTCCTTATTCTTATTTCTATCTTTATGAAGAATCTTAGGCTCAAAGAGGGTAAGTGAAGGAGCTGGGATTTGAAACCAATTCTTTAGACTCCTACTTTTGTATTTTTTTGTAGTACATCGCAGCAGCGCCACTGTGTGTGTGTGTGTGTGTGTGTGTGTGTGTGTGTGTGTCTGTGTGTGTGTGTGTGTGTGTGTGTGTGTGTGTGTGTGTGTGTCTGTCTGTCTGTCTGTCTGTCTGTCTACAGGATATCCTCTCCAAGAGGTTCTGGAATAAAATGCTTTAGGACCAACCGACTTGCTGAATTGAACTGATGCATCTATTTAAAACCAGCAGCCCAAACTTTTCAGTTTTCTTGGCTAGAAGTTCCCACTTTCTCTTTCAGGAATGTGTATTTTGTTTCGTCAGATAGGAATTTTAGAAGATCATAGCATGCTAGAGTTAAAGGGGACATCTAGTTAAACTCCTTCACATAAAATGTTGTGAAAACAAAAGCCAGGAGGGGAAAAGTGACTTGTCCAAGGTACCACAGCAAATCAGCAGCAGAGTTGGGACTAGAATCCAGATCAGTTTTCACAGTCTAGTGTTTTTTCTGCTACCATGCTGTCTTTTGATAAAGCAGGAAGGGGAGGAGGAAGTGTGGTATAGTAGAAAAAAGCTCTGGACTATGAGTCATTTCATTTCCTCATCTTTAAATTGAGGAGATTCTGAGAACCCTTCCAACTCTAAACATCTCATTGTATAGAGGTTTAATAATGTGCTTTTACTGATAAGCTTTTGTTCTTGGGAAACCTTTCCATAATTTTTTTGTAAGTTTTTAGTTGAACAAATTTGATGGTATTGGTACATGAATCAAGACCCATAGATTTCAAATTAAATATGTACTGGGTAAATTATATTTGTGGTGAATGTTCCTGCTAATTTGTGGATTGTATATATGCATATTAAAGGCTGGCACTGAGAACATGTTACAAAATAAATGTGACATTTTTAGCATTCTTTATTTTTAAAAAGTTTTCTTCATGGCAACCAAAATATTTTTGAGATGTTACAAGGAAGAATAGAATGGTAACATTTTTAGAGTAGGAAGGGGCCAGAGATCATTTAGCTCAGCTGTCCCATTAACTGAAAGCAACCTAGGCTCAGAGAAGGGAAGTGACACATTGCTAATTAGTGGCAGACTGGGAACTAGAACCCCAGTCTCCTGATTGCTCATTTATTCCATGCAGCCTTGTCTGTGGAAAGAGGGAAAGTATTGCTGGGTATCCCTGCTCTAGGTTTTTGGCACTTACCCTCTTAGCAGGCCTCTTAAGATGGTCTGATCTCATCTACTGCGATTCTGTTTTTTTCATGCCATGCTGTCAAAGGACATTGACTGTTCTAGGATCCTAAATTTTGCCCACTAATTTTCTCCAGGTTAGGATGAACAAAGATTGCAGGATAGTTGATCTAAGAACAGTAGCGGCTACTTATTTTATTTTTAGCAGTGTAGTCTCAACTGCAGTCTATCTTTGTAGACTGAAATAATGGTGAAATCTTGACTTTTTTTTAAAGCCATGAATACTGAGATCAGACCATCGTGAAGAATTCATACCAAAAAAAAGAAAAGTTGCATAGCTGCCTCTGTTGAAAACTCAGCTTTCTCACTTAGGCATCAGAAACATTTCTTCCTGAATTGAAAACTGATACAAGTTTCATTAAAAATATTTATGTGATAAGGGTTATTTGTGGAAAGATTCCTAAAAAATGTCTGTTAATGGGTTGGCATTTAATCATAAATTATATTTGATTGCCGTTGGCTTTGTGGATTGATAGGAATATATTTGTAAATGTGGTTTTATCACACCCATCTATCATATTAATTGAAGTGGGGGGAAAACCTACATGTTAATTAGTAAATTCATGTCCTAAATTTAATAGCCTCCAAATGTCAATTGGTGATTTATGGAGGTAGGACAGCGGCAATAGTATGGCAATTTGGGGGCTCACTTTGTATCTGTACAATTTCCTGTAAACTGAAAACTTTATTCTGTTCTTGTGATAACCTATTGCATAAAGTCAGATAAATAAATTTTGATTTAAATATTAAAAACCTAAGTAGCTTTAGGATGTTAACAGTTCAGAGGTAGTCCTACAGAAGAAAAAATAATTTCCAGTTTTTGATATTTGAGACTTAGTTTGTAACCTGTACATTACGCAGCAATCCATGTGTTCTCTTCAGTTCATTGTTTTAACTTTGACAAAGTCAGCTGGATTTGCCAAGGAAACCTATTGATGAGGCTGTTTGTTTCCTCATACTCTGCCTGCAATTCTAGTAATTACTTCCAGGGGTAGTATTGGTGGAGGGAGGGAGTGATGAGGAGGGTGATGGTGATGGATGGAGGTGGAAGGTGCCCTACGCACTGTG